CCAAAACCACCTATATGGTAATGGAGTGAAGCACTTATAACTCATAACAACTATTATAAATAAGTACGAGCATTGCCACACATATAGGTGCTGAAATTCAGTCTTACATAAAAAAATACACAGGGTTCATTTGCAGCCTTGACATTAAATAACTGCTATAAGGTGTTGCCTTAAACAATGCTTGGTAGAGAATAATGCCCGATGACCAACAAGACTTGTGGACATCGAGAAAAGTTGGCAAAGTATGATCTTTATTCCTTCATGTAGTTCATTGAAGTTTGAAGTGGTGTGTGCTGTGGAACACTGCCTGATTTCTGAGAAAACAAAGGATTGCTTGGCGTTTATCCAAAGAGAAATCAGAGGCTGCCAGTGAGATCATGGACCCTGGAGTGGTGATATGATCGAAGAATAAAAATCTTGTTGTGTATTGCTGTTGGGGCTTTTATTTTAGTGTAAAAGTTTAAATATATGAGCTCTTTATGCTCTTTTGGTGCATTGGGCAAAAATGTTGAGGAAAAAAAATTAAATATCAGGGGATCGATGAAGAAAGTGGTGCCTTAAAGCAGTGCCAGATTAAGAGCCCAGTGGGCCTAGTGCTGACAGTTATGATGGTCTTATCACTAAAACGGTTATACCTTCCAAGCGTCATATATCTGGTGGAGATGGTGCTGGAGGGAAACTAACAGTATATAGCTATCAGAAAACACAAACCCTATGCTAATCTCTCGCTTTCATCATTCAAGTAAATCCATACCCCCTAATAGCAGTGTCCAGTGAAGCATGATTCCGGTGGGCGGGGTGAAAGGGTGGGCCAATGATGTGAATCACATAACCAGAACTGCCCAAAGGGACAGAGATGACCAAAAAAGGGGGGGGGGGCACGAAGAATTAGAAGGTCACCCTGGTCAGGCTGACTGCCAATCATCTAGGATGACCAACCAAGGGCATACTATGCAGACAGCACCCTGAGCTTGGCATAAATGCATCTAATATTGCGCTAGCTCCAGGAATGTCCCCTAGCACTCGTTGGTCCTCTCCTAACCTTCTTACTAGCAGGCAGAAGCTGTCTGGGACAGAGAAAAGTTGTATGTAGTGAGTGTAGAAAGGGAACATGTCACACTGTTTAAGAGACTGAAGCAGCAAGAGCATTTGCATTGTGCGCAAAGTCAGCTTTACCTTAACTAATTTCACTGTCAGCCAGTCCACACCAGTTTTGTTCCTCTACATCCCTTTTACGTTTATATACTTAAGACAAAGCATGTTAAGATTAAATTAATGGGCCTATCCCATATGCATGGACTTGGAGTTGCATGTTAATCCGGCTTTGCAAGGGACCACTAAAGACAAAGACACCACATCAACGCAATGAAGAGGCCTGGGTGCAGTGGCCCTTTAGCTTTAGATCTGAAATGTAAAACATTGCAGTTTTACAGAAACCCTGCCTTCCTGAAATCCACTAGAGGTGCTTCCCTGTGAGAAACAAGTTAAACTTGGTTCTCAAATAAATGCTGCTCCTAGAGGAGCGTCTGATTGGCACAGTGCTGCTTTTTTCACACATGCACACTAGCCTGGCACGGGTAGTAAGGTCAGTAAAACTCACCTTTAAAACCATCATAGGGGGAGGACACTTACATAGGTAGTAGATCACTATAGGGTTAGAAATACATGTTTATATCTCTAACGGTATGGTGTTCCTTTAAATGGTCTTAATGTTGCCCCAATTCCCTACTGTAGACCTGCAGCAATCCCTACTAGAGATTAGTAAGCCATTATAGTAAGTGAGGACATTATTGTATGCAATATCGCATGTTATTCAATTTATTTTTACCCTTTAAAAGACAATAAAATGTCATGAATTAGGGCCACAGGGGTATTTTCAATAACTCTGAATTAAGTAAGAGAAAAAGGCATGCATACTATTTGCTTCTTCTTACAATTTATATATTTTTTGTATATTTTAAGGCAATTCCACTACAGAGTGAACTTTGTTTACTTCTGCTGCTGATACCGTGATACATCGCTGCCATGTTTTCTAAAATAATCTGCTTTTTCTCTCAGTTACAAATTATCTCCATTGCTGCTTCTTATCTTGAACTCGCAGATCTTTTAATGTCAATGTCCGTAAAGCCGTTTTTTCTCATGCTATTGAAACATTACTTAAATAGCACTAATTCAGTAAACAGTCCGTTTATTTTCCCACAGTGCTACACACTGTCCAAACATTTAAATCCTTGTCGGAAACATAATGATTATAATGCTGTTGCTTGAGGTCAAGATTTGGTAAGTGGCCATGGTTTCATGGTGTTCCAATGGGGCCAAGAGGACAGCTATAGGGAACATTGCCTAAACACACAATGTAAGCCTCTGGAATATTGATCAAACCTAATATTGCACCAGCAAGAAGTATGTTGCCTTGGCATTAGTATTGTGTACTTTTGTATGTACTGACGGAAGTTTTGTGGCTTTGCCAGTGATTTCAGTTTCATTTAGAGTGATGTTTCATGTTGATTCATGATAAAGGGTTGGTTTAGGAGAAAAGTATAGTATACAACGAAACAGAGAACATGCGACTATAAAACTATTATTTAATATTGGTTTTTATCATTTATTTAACATTTATAGCTTTGAAGCAAAGATAATAAAGGAGATAAAATAATAAAATTGTGTAGTTACTATAGAGTGAAACACACTTTATTATAAATGTATTATTATTAATATTATTGCTAATATAGTGGGAAACACATCTTAAATGCAAATATGAATACGAATTGTGTTCCCCATCTTTAATCTGTGCATTATTAACTTGTATTTTTACTCAGTGATATACAGCCACAGCTAGACATATACAGTATATAGTGATTTACTTACACATAATCACGCTAATCTTATTTCCTATTACCCATAACCCTTACCATAAATTCTTCTTCCTACTATTCTAACCTTAATCAATAATCCCACTTTCTATAACTCCTAACCTAACCTAACAATTAATCCTACTTACTATAACTCATAACCGAACCCTAACCATTAATCCTACTTTCTATAATTCCTAACCCTAACAATGCATCCTATATTTTATACTCCACACCTAACCTTAAAAGAACACTCCATACCCCTGAAGCACATTAGCTTTAAGTGCCTTAAGTGTGAACGGAGTCCTCTTTTTTCATTTTACAAGAAGTACATATTTCAGTAGAAATTGGCACATTTATAAATGAACCTTGTTACGCCCCCATGGCTGTCAATCAAACACTGGTCCTGTTACTTCCTGGTTTGGTTTGCTCAGTGGAGCTAAACTCAAGAGACAGCTATTGCCCAAAGCAACTGACTTACAAAGACTTCTCATTGAGCTGCATTGGGGAGTCTGTGATTAGAGAGACACAGAAAGACTGGACTAAGGAAGAAGAGGAGGACTTTTAAAGGCAGCAGAAGAGAGATCTGCAGCTTTTGCAAGCTGTTTTTGATATACTTTTAATGAAAAATGCATAATTAAATTAATGCATGTTTGCATTGGGTTATATCTACTAAATGTTGATAGGTATTTTTTGGGGGGAGGAGGGGGTGGATTTGTGTAGTGCAGTGTCCCTGTAAATACTAATCCTACTTCATAAATCCCTTGCCTAACCCCAAACTCCAAGGTTAACTCCTATAACGAGTGACCTGTATTTAACCCCCAGCTTTAACTCACTTTACCTGCACACTAACCCTAACTTCTAGCTCTAACTCTTGGAATCCAAAGATTAACCCTGACTTCTAGCTCAAACTCCCAACAGTCCCAAGATAACCGTAATATTTCAGCTTAACTTCCATTGCCTCTATTCTAATTATTATAGGAACCAGTGCTTCATTCATACATTATATTACCTGTCTCAAGATCCTCTTTCTTGAAAATTGCAGTAAAAATATGACTAACAGTTCTATTAAAGATGAACAAAAAAATGAGTGTTGCTGGAGTATTTTTAGAATATATTTTCAATTCCCCTTCTTTATAAAGAAGATCGAGCTTATTATGCTGACTACACACAGCATGATGCACTTGGATTCACTGTAAAAATGTATTCATTTCACCGTTTTTGAATATCAATCTTATCGCTTTACAATCAGGGAGACAAAATGTACAGCACACATTACCATGCATTTTATTGCTGTCGAGCTCTGCGATACACACATAAACACTGCACATTACTGTGAGTTCATTAGTACAGAGCTCTGTGATATTTGCACACACAATGTATATTACTATGAGGTTTATAGCTGGTAGGTTATATGATACACTCATACTATAAGCAAACTGAAAAGCAAAATGGAAAATGTCTTGGTTGAAATGCATGTAAAACCCATCGAGGCATCGAAGAAGTATGGCAGTGAATGATTAACCCTTTAAGGACACATGACGGAAATATTCCGTCTTAATACCCTATTATTCCAGAAGTTGTGTCCTTAAGGGGTTAATGATTTAATAAATCACTTTCTATGAGCAATTTATTATTGAGCTTTAGAGATCCCCAGAAGTCTAGATTTCTACTGTTCTTCTATAAAGCTTTCTGTTTACTGGTTTAGCTATTTCTTCACTTTTTGCAAGCTGTATCGGACATTGGAACCTAAATGTTCAAGAAATATGGGCTATAAATACTCTATTTACATAAAATATTTACATTACAGGTAAGTTATTGAATGATGCAAATGTACTTTGCGTAGAGTAATATCTGGACATTTTGTGCTTTATTATGTGTTAATAAAAGAAGCGTTTGTCAGAGATCTGATATGACTCATTAGGAGTGCTACAGCTGAACGGATTGATAAGCAGATGAGTAATGTTGTGTTCATGATTTAGAGCATTAATAACACCCCGCTGTTTGCTTTTAGCTTGCTCAGTCTGCATCGTTAACAGTGGCATGGAAGGACAATCACTAATGGTTCATGCCAAGAATCAATCAATGAATCTGCAAGGAGCGGTGACATGAATCAGAAAGTCGGTACACTCCTTCAACGCCAACCAAAAGACCAATCATGCAAAAACTCATAGTATCGGAAATGGGAGCCAATGGAATGTCCAGCAATCAAGAGGCAACCAATCATAAGAAAAGATTACCGGTGCATTCAGCTTCAGAGTAACATTGTTGCAATGATCATGATTTCCATTAAGGCACGCTAGACACTTGCCTAGAGCAACATATTTGTGAAAGACACCAGGTGAAACATGTGAGCAAGACGTGATACAAACACCCACACCCCCCTTCCCATGTCCTAGCCCATCTCTATACTGGTCTGTTAGTCAATGTTACAGAGCAATGACTGGGCTAATTCCTGTGTATGCTATTAAAACAGGGTGATGGAGCAATTTACAAGTCTGGTGTGTGTTGATGCCTGAATACTATTGATTAGTGGTCTGGTGGCCTAGTGGTCTTAGTGGCTCTAAGCCCCCCCCCCCCCTCCCCTTCTTTATACATGTCTGATCTCTCTTAGTAAAGTTAAACAATATTATAAAATGCAAGCTGAAGATGTAGGAAAACTGAAACTCTTTAAATTTCAATATAAACAATATTTGTTTCAATATTTTGGATATCAAACTAAACTTTGCTGTAGCCCCGCCCCCCCACCCCCCCACTCCCACCTTGGGATTTTAGCATCACAAGAATCTAAATCATGCGACTACCAGGGCTGTATTTACCGCAAGGCTAACAAGGCGTTTGCATTGGCCGGTACTTTCCAGGGGGCGGCTAAAAATGCTGCCCCCAAATGCTCAGGCATATAGCTTGTTAGTCTAATTTTAGGGGCCCAAAAGCTGCCGGGGTGGGGGGCGGGGGGTGGCCAGTACTGTCCCAGGCGTGCGGTAAGTTGGAATATGACATCACTCTGGCAACCGGCATTACTCTGCGGAGCGCGAGGGAGCTGAGCAAGAAGAGCTCAGCTCCCTGACTTCCTGTTTTTCTGTGCCCGCCTGCCTGCCTGCCCGTCTTCTTGCCTGCCCAGCAGTCCCAACAGACAGCCCAGCAGCCCCACTGGCCACAGGTAAAAAAAAAAATCCTGCCTAGGGCAGCACAGATCCAAAATACACCACTGGCGACTACAATGACCTCTGTAGCAGTGATGGGTGAAGGCTTTCACTATTCACACAGTCTAGTTCTGTATAATACAGCATCTACTGGATAGTCTGTCTGAAAGGGTCAAGGTGGTAGCTCAGTTCTGAGAAAAGATCAAGTTACAGTAAGAAAAAGTTTAGTTCCATCTATTTCCTGACATCTTGCGGGAAGGAAGGGTCTATCAATTAGATCTTAGTCTGGAGTGATCTACTCTTGAATCAGTAATAACCCAAGGGCACATTGAGATGGATGCCTCTTTTTAAAAGAAATATTCTATCTAACTACGGACAGACGGACGGACGGACGGACTGACAGACAGGATAGATGAAATGAGCACTAAATTCCTTCAGTTAAAGGAACACTCCATATCCATAAAGCTGACGTACTTTATTGGTAAGGAGAATACAATTAAAAAGGCACTTTATAAAAGTGTTGATTCCTATGAGAAATCGGCAGATTTCTTGTTAAATAATTTCTTTTTCAAATAATGGAGTATCCCTCTAGCAGAGAGGTTCTCTTCCTACTTCCATTAGCTCACTCTGAATTAACGGGAGTGAGGTGCGCTCTACCTGAGAGCACCTGCCTTGCCTTGTATACATGTTCTCAGACATCAGATCAGACCAGCTTTGTTTTTGAGCCAGTACACAAGTTTTTCAATGAGAAGCCTCTGATTGGTCATTCCCTCTTATGAGAATGTTAGTCTCTTCCAGGGTAAAAGGGAAGGGCTTGATAAGGCTGTAGTTCACAAGGACAGCCACTTTTGCAAGCTCTTTTAAGATATACCCCCAATTAATACATGCATGAATAATGCATGCATGTATGCATTGTGAGGTATATCTACTAAACAGTGATTTTTCTTTTATTTATCGTTTTCCATGTTTTGACTGTGGAGTGGTCCTTTAAGTAACTGACATTATCTGCTCCAACCACCATATTCACAATAATTGATAATATTCTATAAATGAAATATGTAGAATGTTAGATACCATCCTGACAATGGCCCATTCCAAGCAGAGTGTTCAAAGTACAAGCTGTGCCACCTATCTACATGTCAAATCATACCACATACCTAGACAGCAGATTAATACATAGACATATCCCACTGTGCTACCACACAGGAGGGACAAATTTCCTCAGAACTTCAGTAACAAATAAAAGTTCTGAGCACACCGAGTTTCTGTCCATAACAGAGTTCAACAATGTTTCGGCTCCAAACAGCTTGAGAAAGGCTCCTTTTGGAGCCCAGACCTTTTGTTTGTTACATACCTAGACAACAACGGCAAACACTCTGGAATGAAACTCAGTTTATCGACTATTTTGTGGTATTTTTATACTTTATCGACAGCCTTAACATGGCTTACAAACAGCATGGACATTTAAACCAATTAAAATTCAATTACAAGTGAGTAAATTAACCCTTGAAAGTTCTTAGCTTTTTTTGGAAAGTTATAGGGCTATAAGTACATCCCTGAATAACTCTTTACATGTATATATTTTTTAAAAGAAGATAACCTAAGGTATTAAACTTGGGTATTTTGACTCTTTTCATGCAACCATTTAACCACCAATTTATGCCAAATTAAAAAAATAATAATAATTGGTGATTTTTTGGACACACATAGTAATTTAAGAATACATGTACTGAGAACATTAAGGGTTACTGCCAAAGAACACCCCAATATGTGTTCAGCAACATCTCCTGAGTACAGTGATACCACCCATATATAGGTGTGTCGGGTTCTCTGGGGGCTAAAAGACCTTATTTGGAGGGTGCGCATTCCAGTTTTCCAACTTGGAATTTTCACAGCTGGTCATCATGCTCCTTGTCCTTTTTGGGACATTTTTGAGGCCGGCCAGAGTAATTTACCCCATCAAACCATATATTTTTGAAAAGTAGACAACCCAGGGTATTTCATATGTATGTCCAGTCTTTTTTAGTAGCCACTTAGTCAAAAACACTATAAAACCTGTACATGGGAGGTACTGTTATACTCTGGAGACTTCGCTGAACACAAATATTAGTGTCTCAAAACAGTAAAACTCCATGTAGAGCAACCTGGAAGTGATTGCTCCGGGGGGGGCGATCACTCATTAGAGCTGCTGGAAGCGATCATTCCCTTAAGGACCGTTTTTTGTCGGATGTAGCTGATACGTCCTTGGTTGGGAAGGGGTTAACGGGGCACTCCACTGCCCACATGGAAAAATAATAATAATCACTATTTAGTAGATATACCCCCAATGGATACATGCATACATTTTCCAAACATGTATTAATTTGGGTCTATCTTTAAAGAGCTTGCAAAGGCTGCAGATCTTATGAATTACCGCGGAGTGGTCCTTTAACTTGACAGGGTTATAAATAAATAAGAACTTTCTGGAATTCAAGGTAAATTCAAACAGAGTTATATACTGAAGTGAGATTGTAACGTGACTTCGTTTCAAACTTTTCAGTGAAGCATGTCAAGTAAAATAATCACAAACAGTATGTTATAAATAACAAGTCTGAGGTTATGGGTTTCACATCTTAAATGACATTGTAGGTTAAAAAACTTAAAGAAAACGGCAGATCAGAACCAATCGGCCCATCTAGTCTGCCCAATTTTCTAAATACTTTCATTAGTCCCTAGCCTTATCTTATAGTTAGGATATCCTTATGCCTATCCCACGCATGCTTAAACTCCTTTACTGTGTTAACCTCTACCACTTCAGCTGGAAGGCTATTCCATGCATCCACTACCCTCTCAGTAAAGTAATACTTCCTGATTTTATTTTTAAACCTTTGTCCCTCTAATTTAAGACTATGTCCTCTTGTTGTGGTAGGTTTTCTTCTTTTAAATATAGTCTCCTCCTTTACTGTGTGGATTCCCTTTATATATTTAAATGTTTCTATCATATCCCCCCTGTCTCGTCTTTCCTCCAAGCTATACATGTTAAGATCCTTTAACCTTTCCTGGTAAGTTTTATAGCGCAATCCATGAACCAGTTTAGTAGCCCTTTTCTGAACCCTCTCTAAGGTATCAATATCCTTCTGAAGATATGGTCTCCAGTACTGTGTACAATACTCCAAGTGAGGTCTCACCAGTGTTCTGTACAATGGCATGAGCACTTCCCTCTTTCTACTACTAATACCTCTCCCTATACAACCAAGCATTCTGCTAGCATTTCCTGCTGCTCTATTACATTGTCTGCCTACCTTTAAGTCATCAGAAATAATCACCCCTAAATCCCTTTCCTCAGATGTTGAGGTTAGGACTCTATCAAATATTCTGTACTCTGCCCATGAGTTTTTAAGTCCAAGATGCATTATTTTGCACTTATCCACATTAAAAGAAAATATAAATGAATAAACAAAACTTTACAAACTAAGTATGCTCTGTCATAATTATTTTATGGTGTTTAGACATGACATATCTCTGTATCGGAGGCAATAAGCTTGAGGTGTCCTGCATTGTAAAAACTTTTACTATGAGGTTAAGGGGTGCCAACCCGTTACAAATCTGGTCAAGTACTGGTCTGTAAATTCAAACTTTGATTTTATTTCGGTTTGAGTTTCTCTGTCTAGGGAATTAATATAGGGTTGCCAAATAATGATAAATTTATTCATTAGGGTAATTTTATGTAACAATGTTTCTACCCAATCTATATGAAATAGGTAGGGGATTTTCAGATGTAGCAGTGATGGTGTTGGGGGGTCGATCCAGCAGTGTAATAAACTCTTACATGCCCCAGCAACAAGGATCATCTGTGCTAGTTTTAAGACATGACTTGGCCCCCCGGTTGCAAACAATGGAGAGATTCTAACAGATCTGCCTATTAATTTTGTTACATAAGATTTAACCTGCTTCCACAATGTTTTAGTCCCCACACATCACCAAAAGCGATGGCAGAGGTCTGCTCCGTCTGTCCCACATTTTAAACAGTTGAAGACAACAGTAGAAGAAGTTTATTCTTTTTATTTATTTATTTTGCTTTTTTTTTATTTTCGTCATTGCTTCTAAGAAGCTTTGGGTTTATAAACACACCAACAGGACACATAACAACGCATTCATGCCTTGAGGCTCTGAAATATTTTCATGTGTTTGAACAAGATTCCAAGTGATTTTATATTTACTGGAACAAACTACCTGAATCATGAGTTTATCTATTTCA